GATGTAATCCACGTTCTTTTTGAATTCTTTTACTGAAAAAATTAAGTCTATATATGTTTTTATTTTAGAATGGAATAAGTTACATGCAGTATTGACCTCGACAGTATCCAGAATACCTTCCCAAGTTTCAAATTATAAGTCTTTGACAAAATGTCGAGTTTTTTTTTGTTTTAAAATATGCGCCTTTTTGATGTTTTTTCTGTGCTCTTTAGGAGCGTTTATTGTAAGTATTTGTAAAAAATGGTCAGATATAGCTAAATCGACCACATGGACACTTTCATAATCCTGAAAATTCACAAATATATTATCTATTAGAGTCCTGCTTGTTTTATTACCCTTGTAGTTTAAAAAACTAATTATTACTTTTAATATGATTTATTTTGTTTCAAAAAAAGGTGGCCTCGTTGCTGGGAATGTAGATCACGGAATCCTCTTAGGAAAAATGAGATGTTACAACTTTTGCCCAAATATTATCAACCTTCTACAGTCATACCTTGAAGGTAGGCGCCAGTGTGTGCGCTATGCTGATGTAACATCGGCGAAGGGATAAATAAGTATTGGGCTACCACAGGGCTCGATTTTGAGGCCCACACTTTTTCTAATATACATAAATGAATTACCATTTTTTGATCAACAACCAAAGTACACTCTTTTTGCCGGTGATACAACTGTGTCTGTATGTGCTGATGCACTAGAGGCTTCTCTAGAGGATTCTATGGTGCGCAGGAGTTGGCCCAAAACTGGTTCAACTCTAATAAACTACTTCTAAATATTGAAAAAACAACAAGGTCTTTTCAATGAGAGAGTTCCACCAGACAAATTCCAACATAAATAGTGCCAGATTTCTTGTAGTGACCATTAACCCTAAATTGCAATGGAACGTACCAGTATTGCCAGTCTAGTACAATTGTACTAGATCTAGTAAATTCTCTGAGAATCTGGTACTCTAATACACTCGAAACAAAATCTAGTACTTTTTTCAGCGTATGTTTCCATTTGAAGTTAAAATATATTGGTCAAAAATTGCAAAAGAAATTAAAATATTTGTTAAAAGTTACTTCAGAGATAAAATAGTAGACATTTCTCGAGAGATAAAACATTGTTTAAAAATTGCACGAGATCAAATATTGTTCAAAAATGGCTTGAGAGGTAAAAAAGGGTGTTAAAAATAGGTCGAAGTATAAAATAGTATTAGAAATTGCTTGAGGGGTAAAATATTGTTCAAAAATTGCTCTAGGGATAAAAAAACCGTTAAAAATTTAATGAGAGATAAAAATATTTAATAATTTATCGAGAGTTAAAATATTGTGCAGTTTGCTAAAGAGATAAAAAAAGTTGTTAAAAATTGCTCGAGAGATAGAATAATGTTAGAAATTTATCGAAAGATAAAATATTGTTTAAATATAGCTCAAGAGATAAAAAAGGTTTAAAAACTGTTCGAGAGATAAAATAGTATCATAAGTTATTAAAATCTTATTCAAAAATTACTCGAGAATTAAAAAATACTGTTAAACATTTCTCGAGAGATAAAACAATGTTTAAAAATTGTTAGAAAGATAAAAAATGTTAATAAAAATTGCTCGAGAGATAAAATAGTGTTAGAAATTATTAAAATTTTACTCAAAAATTGCACGAGAGATCAAATATTGTTCAAAAATAGCTTGAAAGGTAAAAAAGCTGTTAAAAATTGCTCGAGTTATTAAATAGTGTTAAAAATTGTACAAACAATTTTGTACAAACATTTCTCGAGGGATAAAAAGTTGTTAAAAATTTCTCGAGAGATAGAATACTGTTAGAAATTTGTTTAAAATTGTTTTAAAAACTGTTCGAAAGATAAAATATTATCAAAAGGTGTTAAATCTTTTTCAAAAATTGCTCAAGAGATAAAATAGTGTTAGAAATTGTTAAAATTTTGCTCAAAAATTGCACGAGACATCAAATATATTGTTCAAAAATAGCTTGAAAGGTAAAAAAGGCTGTTAAAAATTGCTCTAGTGATTCAATAATGTTAAAAATTGTACAAACATTGCTCGAGGGATAAAAAATAGTTGTTAAAAACTGCTCGAGAGATAAAATACTGTTAGAAATATATCGAGAGATAAAATATTGTTTAAAAATAGCTTAAGAGATAAAAAAGATTTAAAAACTGTACGAGAGATAAAATAATATCAGGTATTAAAATCTTATTCAAAAACTGCTCGAGAGATAAAATAGTGTCAGAAATTTGTTTAGAGATAAAATTTTGTTTAAAATTGTTGTGTTCGTATTCTCTATAAACCTTTTTTTGCTCTTTAATGACCATACTTCATAATTAGAAAACTCTGGTAATTTTATAGAATCTAGTACATTTTTATGAAATCTGGTACATTTTTTAAATAAATCTGGTACATAACAAAAATATATTTTGGCAACACTGGAACGTACATATGAGTCCCCTAAATGCAAAACTCGGTATTTGACGAAATTTTCAAAAGTAATGTTTTGGCGCCATTCAATTCCTTATTTCAAACCATTCTTCTCCTAAAATAAGATGAAAAACTCCCTATTTCTGCATTAAAAACGCTTTACAAAACAAAGACTAGATGCAAAACTCTGTATTTGCCTTCATTTGTCAAATGCAAAACTATGTAATTGTAACTTGCCAATGGCGTTGCGCCTAATAGTCACGTGATTAAGTAAGTGCACGGGCACGTAGACATTTTAATTTATTCAGTTGTTGTTTGGATTCTGAAGAGGCCAAAGTAATTGAGATTAGGAAAACCAGTTTTAAAAGGGACAAATTTTCAATTTTTAGTTTATTAAAAAACACTTTGGAGCCGATTGATCTAACCACACTGATCTTCAATTTTTTAGCGCTCACCACCAAGAAGAAGTCCTCATGGAAGAAGAAAATGAAGAACTCAAAATCTAAGAGTTAATTTTTTTTATAAGTACCTTTTTTGCTTATTTAGAGATTTTTTGCTTGTATATATATTACTACACCTAATAAAAATGTTGGAATTTATATTTTTGTATCTTTAATATATAAAATAAATGTTCTAAAATAAGACAACCATGCACTTACTTATCGGTATTTGCAATTGTGAGTTGCAAAACTGGGTATTTTTAAAACATAAATGCAAAACTCGGTATTTTAATTTTAAAAGTATTTTTTTTTGAATTTTTGGTAGGATTTCGGATTAAAGAGCACAGTTATTTCAAAACAGAATCACTAGAGCCAACTAAAAACAAAATTTAAAACGAATTTTATATGTATTTTAATTACTGACAGGTTTTTGCCCTTCATGAAAAGTATTGTAACCAGCAAATACCGAGTTTTGCATGTAGGGGACTCATATCAACACGGTAGCTTCAAGGCTAGCTAGTGATTTTTTTCTTCTCAGAAATCTAGCTAATAAGGTATCACAACCTGTATTAATAACAGCCTACTTTGAAACTCTCCATGCTCACTTTGCATATGCAATAATTGTCTGGGAGCATGCAGCTGATACTCGACGTGTTTTTGGCATGCAGAGAAAGGCAGTAAGGGTATTGAGTGGTTTTGATTTCAGGGAGGATTGTAGGATGGCTTTCAAAAATCTGGGAATATTGACGGTTCCTTCTGTTTATATCTTGGAGAACCTGCTCTACTACATTAAGAAAAATCCTGGTGTCTTTGTGATGCATAGTAGTGTACATAATTATGAAACCAAGGACAGGGATGCTTTGGTGCCTATCTATTGGGGTCTGAGGGAGGTGTCAGAATGGCCCGGGTTATTGGGCTATTACATTTTAGACTTCCAGCTGTAATTGGAAACTTGCCAATTTTAACGTTTAAAAAAACAAGTAAACAAATCTTGATTAGAAATTGTTTTTATTCTTTAGAGGAATTTTTCAATTTTGACTTTAATGTGTTTAGTGTACATGAAGCTATTGCTTCTAATCTATGTGTATACATTGCTTTAATGCATTTATTTATAATTAGATATTTTTATATTTTTTTAGATTTTTATCTTAGAATCTCAGGTATATCCTCTGTATTTCGGTATTCCTAAATTTTATCTGACTTATGTAAGTTTCATTCTGTAACAATAGCTTGAATAGATTTTGATTTGATAAGTAGAACACAGCAAAATAAGTCGAGTTTGCTTAGTAAAAAATGTTCGTAACGGCATCCGTTTCAAGATAAAGGGCATTGAAAAAAAAATGATACACATTTTTTACGATTATGTCGAAACTCTGGCAACATTGTAATGAAATTTTGTACGAATATATTTTAGAAGCTGACACATCGCTTAAATTTTTTATATCTGCCTCTCATAGAGGGCGCTAGTTACACGGTTCGTACAGAGTTGTTTTAAACAACTTTCTTGAGGTTAAATTTTCTAGTTCAAAGTTTATGTGAACTCAAACATCATTCAATTTTACACCAAAAAGGCACTCTTAGTACAACTCGATACTGTGTACAGTTTTCGGAATATTTTGATTTGAAAATGATGAAGTAATAACTGATACTGTTATAAAGTATTTTTAAAAAAGAATTACCTATTTTTAAAAACCAAAAACATTATTCTAATGCTATTAATTAAACAAAGAATCATAACTGCTTCCTATTTTGCACAACTTTTATTAAATTTACTTGTAGAAAATAGCACTAAATCGAAACCGTCCTAAGGCAAAATCTCATGACTGTAGCACTAATAGTTGTCGAAATATTAACACAAATTCAAGTTATATGAAATATCTCTCGTAATAAGGACTTTCACAACTATATTTACTTAAACTTTTTCATCTCTAAAAATGTATGACTGCCATTCTGAAACATCGTGTGTGTTCACTTATGTGTTCAATCAATATAAAACTTAAGACAGTCCTATCCAAGCCAGCACCATTGTGCGCAATATTTCCTTATGGCTCACTTTTGATGTATGGAATTGGCTTTCTATACTATTTCTATGGTGGGTACATTGCTAATTGATTTGTTAAAAGATTGAAAATGTTTTTTTTTTATTATAAGTTACCTCAATTTATCTCTTTCGGCCATCCATTTAGCTAAAATCATCTGTTCCTCCTCATCTTCACAGTCTTGATGATCTTCTATAAGTTGTGTTAGCATCTGCAACCAGTTGGCATTTTTCTTAAATTCAACCATATTCAGTGTAGCAATTTCATGCTGAAATATTACTGAAATTATTCTAGAATTAAACAAATTAGTAAATCTATATATATAAAATTGTTTGTCCTGACTGACCTATCAGCGTATAGCCAAAAGTACTTAGCCTAGAAAGCTGAAATTTGGAACAGGTTTATTTTATAACGTAAGCATCCGCTAAGAAAGGATTTTGGGAAATTTTAACTTTAAAGGGGGGAAATGGGAGGAAATGGGGGGAGGGAGCTTTTAATGAAACTCTTTGTTCTTTAAAGTTAGAAACATGAAAATTTAAATTACAGCTACTGAGTATAAATAAATAATGACGTGTTTCAGGGTTTTTGGATTTTTTACATTTTAAGGGAGGAAACGGGGGTAAAAGTTTGTAAGGGACTATCGATTTTTTTGTTCTCTATGAAGTTAGAAACATGAAAATTGGAATTGCAGCTACTGACTACAAATTATTAATGACGTGTTTCAGGGTTTTTGGATTTTCACGTTTTAAGGGGGGAAATGGGGGTGAAGATTTATTTGGGAATATCCATGTTTTTGGTTCTCTTTAAAGTTAAAAACATGAAAATTGGAATTGCAGCTACTGAGTACAAATTAATAATAATGTGTTTTAGGGTTTTTATATTTTTACATCTTGAGGGGGGCAAACGGGGGTAAAAGTTTGTATGGGAGTATAACTTTTTTTTGTTCTCTTTGAAGTTAGAAACATGAAAATTGGAATTGCAGCTAATGAATACAAATTAATAATGACGTGTTTTAGGGTTTTGGATTTTCACATTTTAAGGGGGGAAAACGGGGGATGAAAGTTTATTTGGAAATATCGATTTTTTTAAAGGTAGGAACTTAAAAATTGGAATTGTAGGTTCTCATCATAAATAAATAATGAAGTGTTTCATGCTTTTTGGATTTTTTACATTTTAAGGGGGGGGAAACGGGGGTAAAAATTAATAAAAATTATTAAAAATTTATAAAAATTAATAAAAATTAATGAAAATTAATAAGAATTAATAAAAATTAACAAAAAATAATAAAAATGAATAAATATAAAAAAAATGAATGAAAATCAATAAAACTAATAAAAATTAATAAAAAATGAAGTCATGTATTTTTTTATATTAATAACACGACTATATGCGAGCAAAGTCGCGAGCAAAGCCGCGGGCAATAGCTAGTTGTTAATAAAACCCTATCAAATTCTAAAAAAAATAATTATTTTTCAAGTAATGTGCATTTTGTAAAATAAACCCATGAAGTTTTTCCAATAGTATCATACCGTAAGTTCTGTAATAATCGCCCCAGTTCTCCAACCATGTTCTAGTGTAACATCAGCTAAATCACTGTAAGGATGATCTCCAAAGTACAAAACTTGATGCCCACGCCAGCCAGTTAATTCTTGCAGCTGCTTAACTGTCCCCTAAAACACCATTTATTAATGTAAATAAATGTAAAAAAATGTAAATAAATGTAAATAAATGTAAATAAATGTAAATAAATGTAAATAAATGTAAATAAATGTAAATAAATGTAAATAAATGTAAATAAATGTAAATAAATGTAAATAAATGTAAATAAATGTAAATAAATGTAAATAAATGTAAATAAATGTAAATAAATGTAAATAAATGTAAATAAATGTAAATAAATGTAAATAAATGTAAATAAATGTAAATAAATGTAAATAATTCTAATAATTACTTCATAGTAAATAACGCCTTTTTCTAATTTGTTGACTCTATCCCAGATGTGGGTCCCACTTCTTTCATCAAACACTCTAATAGGTCTCGAAACATCAGTGAAAAATTTGGGTTTTCTTGCTTGCACAATGAGAACATCAAAAAGTTCTTTCCAGTCGGACCCTACCATGAATTTCATACCTTTATTTCTAAATAATAAAAAAATAGAATAGAACATTATTCACTATGTTATATACAAGCAGTAAATTTGTAGAAGTCACAAAGAAAATAATTCGAGAATAAAAAAATATTAAACAACTAAACAGTCACTAAAATTACATACAGTGAGCACCATAAGTCTTACCCCCCCCCCCTATCTAACTCGTTACTGGAGTCTTGTTAGGAAAATCGCCGAGACACGTCGATTTTTGATTTCTACAATGTACATTTTTGTATAAATAGTTTACCCTTAATTTCATCCCTTACTGGATGGGAGCAACCCTTTCGAAAAAATTAAATGGCATGGGGTGGTGAGTATAATAGCTCATTTGAAAGAGGGTTTTATTCTCTATTCAACCGTGTAAAAAAATTTGAAATTTGCTTCATTAATTCTCGACTAATTGTTATTTCAGAATAACGGAAATTAACGTAGCGCACTCATCCTTAGAATTAAAATTCAGCCCTGCATGATTTCGGTTTTAGTTCAGACGTGAAGTAAGACTTTTTGCCATTAGAAGGTCACTGTTAGTCTAGTTGCTTTCCTATTTTGTGAGGTTTTGTTATTTTTAAACATTAATAAATCAACACGTGATGAAGCAAATTTAAAATTTTTTTTGCACGGTTGAATAGAGAATAAAACCCCCTTTCAAATGAGCTATCACTCACCACCCCATGCTATTTAAGTTTTTCGAAAGGGTTGCTCCCCTCCAGTAAGGGATGAAATTAAGGGTAAACTAATAATGCAAAAATGTACATTGTAGAAATCAAAAATCGACCTGTCTCGGCGATTTTCCTAACAAGACCACAGTAACGAGTTAGTTAGGGGGGGTAAGACTTATGATGCTCACTGTATAATTAAAATATGTATATATTTAAAATGTGGTTGTCGGCGTGACGAGCGTTGCTGAGAGGGGGAAACCTGTCGAAGCCGTGTTTGAATTCATTTATCTGCTTTTTTTCTAAACCAATCATTGACTTGAAATAACATTTCGGTGTAGTGTCTCGACTGCGATAAAGTGGTTTTTTAATGTCATTGGACAAATATAAATAATTTTTACCACTTCCGATTCTGACACCGTGGTATCAACACTGAAATGGCGGCGTCAGAATCGGCAGTCAGGTGTGAATGTTTCCGTCAAAATCCTTAACAAGAACAGTCATCGTAAAGTGAATATTGTCTGATGTGATCAGTTATTAAGTAGCAAGAACAGTGCGTCAAATTTTTTTGAATCTGAAAATTACAAATTGTCACATGGTGTGATGTGCATCCTGTGACGAAAAAATAAATTTCCTTTAAAATATCCACCTATAATACAGAAAACTCCAATACAATTACCCTAGGCCGAATAGCCCTGGCAGCTGAGGCCTATAAAAATTGAATTGAAGAAGAATAATAATTTTTACATTTCTACCTAATTTTTTAATTATACGTATAATTTTTGAAAATCAATTTTGCATTATTCGATATGTTTTTATCTATTATTATTATTATTATTATTACAATTTATTAATTAATTTAATTTTTGGAAATTTTAAAATAATTATTTGAAAATTTAACTTATATTCCTTGTAAGGCCATCGTGAAAATAGAATTAATTTTTTGTTAAGAGAGCGAATATATGGCAGTCTGAGGGTCGAGTTCTGATTTCCGATTCCAAAGTTTAACCTTGTTGTAACCATAATACATCAAAAAAATTATCAGTCGATTCGTTGAGTTGACTTGCAGAGAATCAACGTCCCGATTCCCACTTCTATATCTTGGTATAGATCTAGTAAAGCCAACCAAGGAGAGCGAGGTTGTGTTTTGCCTATTTTTTACTAATGAAATCATAGACGCCAACTGATAAAAATATCTTTTGCGATGGTCAAATTTATTGGATAATTTTTTAGTGTTTGTAAATGCATATAAGTTCGCTTTTTCTTGATTTGGTTTTTAAATATATAGCTCGTATATTTTTATTGCGGTAATGCAATTGTAAAAGTATATAAATTAGAAACATTTCCACCCGTTAAATAATAAACCAAAATTTATTTATATTCTTTTTGAATATTATTTTTAATCTTCTCTTGGTGCGACAATTCTCTTTTTGCTAAAGTTAATTTTGTCATTTTGGTGTCCTTGCATTTATAATTCTCATCTAGCTTTTCAAAAATAAAAAAAAGTTATTGGCGCCCAGATACCCTAAAAATATTCCCCAAAAGTGTCTATTAGAAAAGCCTGAATTCACGACTGAGAAAACTACAGTGTCATATGCCCCCTCCCCTGGCGTGGAGAAGAAAATTTTTACGATTTATGAGCCTTTTACTCAAAAAAATATGCCAAAAAGGGAATTTTTAAAGCAAGGGAAATGTTTAAAAAAGATCACCAACAGTCAACACTATCCAATAAAATATATTATTTAATAAGAAATATATGCAGAATACAATTATTTACAGACGGGAATATGTAATCTCATATGTCTTAAATGTTGGATTACATAAAAATTAACGGGAATGGGAGAATTATTTAATGATAGCTTCCTTACGAAATAGACTTCTTGTAGAACATGATACGTTAATACCTGCATTAGAAACAAGAAAAGATGATGAACTAACATTGGATTTGGTAAAATCTAAGGTTATTGATGAATGGCCCAGAAAGAGAAATAATCTAAATAATAAATTGCAATGGAAGTGGCGACATCAACGTCTTCTGAGTATAAAGCCACCAACAGTAATTGTGGCTTCTGTTGGAAATTGAAAAAAGTTGTAAATAGGCAGAATGTCAATAACTACATAAGAAATCAAGTAAATTGTACTCTTGCAGAAGATGAAGACATATAATGAGTCTTCTTTTCAAAACAATCGAGATGAAATGGTATTAAATTAGTCACTAGGTAGAGGAAGCGGATACATAAGCATTTTAAAAGCTACTGGAAATTTTGAAAAGAGAAAAGTCGCAGATGTATTGTTTGATCTAGACCTGAGGGTAAATTTATTTATTTTATTTGCAAATTTATTTATTTATACTAAATAAATTTAACAATGGTATACAATTAATAAAAATATAATATGTGTAATTTTAAGAGTTATGTAAGTTATAATAGTTTTTGTTAAAATGTATGTTTATGGAATATTAATTTCAATTTGTTGAAAGACATTAAAAAGGTCAATGTTACTGCTAATCATGAACCGATCTAATGTTTGAAGAGAATTATCAATAGGTGGGAATAAATTATTGTTGGAAAATAATGTGTATCTTTGCCTAAGGCGAATATCTGGTACGAGGAAATTGATGGAGGCTAGTAATTCGGGTAAATTAAAATTTCCATATATAATATTTGTTATAAATGTTAATTGGGCTTTGTTCCTTCTGCCACTAGTGTTTCAATATTAAAATCTATTAACTGGCTCTGGTAAGAGATACGTAAGGGGTAGTCTCCATATTTTTTCATGTGTAGAGATCTGACAAAACGCTTCTGCACTTTTTCCAAGGTATCATTATAAAGGATTGTTTTGGGTGACCAAATTATACGGGCATATTCTATTTTAGATCGTACGAATGCATTATATAGAACTTTGCATGTTTCGGCAGGGAACTCATGGCAAGCCCTGAGAATAAATGCGAGTCTTCTATAGCAGTATGTTGTTAATATTGTTATATGTTTATTAAAATTAAAATTTGAAGAATAAACCACCCCTAAATCTTTGCTTTCGTTTATTCTCTTTATTAAGGTATTGTTAATTTTTTAATCCGTTATGATGGGGTTCTTCCTGGTGTAAATGATTATATTGCATTTAGGTATATTGAATGAGAGATCGTTGATATGACAGTATTTGGATATTGCTGTGATATCCCCTTGCAGTAACTCAGCATCAGCTGCAGAGGAGATTTGTCTAAGCAGCTTCAGATCATCTGCATATAATAGGAATTTAGAATGTTTAATATAATCACTTATATCATTGATAAAAATGACAAATAGAAGTGGTCCCAGAATCGACCCTTGTGGTACACCAGAATTCGCTATGAAGAGTTTTGAATTACTGTCATTGAATCTAACAAAGTGTTGACGATTAGTTAGATACGACTTTATTAACCAAGTTAGATCATTGCTGAATATGTTTTGTAATTTGTTTATCAGAACATGATTTATTCTGTCAAATGCTTTTGCTAGGTATATATTGTATCGACCTGACTGTGTGTTATAGCGTTAGCGACATAATCGTTAAATACACATAAATTTGAAATTGTTGACTTTTTATTGATAAAGCCATGCTGCTAATCAATTAATATTATGGGTGACACATGTGAATAGATCCTATTATAAACTATTCTTTCTTTCTTTATTATCAGTTTGTCAATTAGTTTTAAAAGGTTTTGAATTAGTATTAAAGAAAAACATGTGTATCATACAAAGAAATATGGAAGAAGTTGCCATTACAAATTGTATGAGCCTGGAATGAAAAAATTTGTAGTCTTGGTAAAAACTTGATATAAACTAAGACAAATGTCTATATAACAAAGGTGTGCTTACGAATTCTTGTTATATTTTAATTTAAGTTGATGACTTTACTAGTTGCTAGTGAAAATTAATCTATCTATGATAAATGAATTTCAAAGGGCACTTGAATTAGAATTTGAAATTAGTTGTCTTGGTGAAGTAAGTTGTTACTTAAGAATAGAAGTTGAAAAAGATGGAAATGGACATTTTTTTTAATTAGTCAAAGATGATATATTACAGATTGTAAAACAAGCAAAATTGCAAGAAGCAAAACCCTCAAAAATTCCGTTAGATCCAGGTTATTACAAATTAAAGTCCGACGAAGTTGTAGAAAATACAGCTTACCAGAAAATTATTGGGCAGTTGTTATATGTATGACCTGATATTTTTTCTTCATCAGCTTCAATTTTAAGTAGGAAAACTAGCTGTCCAACTTACAGATTGGAATGAACTCAAGAGTAAAAAAACTATTAAAGGTAACAACTGACCTAAGATTATAATTAACACTCTCAGCACTAGGTGTAACATTAAAGTACACCGGCCCTTGGATCCCTAGGCCAAAATGTTTTTTTCAATTTTTTAATATATGTTATGTTTTGCCATTAGAAGGTTATATTTTGCGTTTTTCTATTTTTTTGGTTTGTTTTCGTAGGGTGTACAAAAATGTTACACTGGCCTGCGAAGGAAATTGCTATCCTGCGCCAAGTGTAACATTTTTGTACATCAATAGAAAGCAATGTGAAGGCAATCCATATTACTGCAAATCCTGTTTTAATGAGAAACATTCGTTATGCGTTCATATAGTTTTTTTGCAGAGTTCATATTTTTGTTAGAGTTTCGTGAAATATTTAGTTTAGTATTTTTCAGACATTTATAAATATTTATCATAATTTAGCAGTTACTGATTGTGAACATTTAGAGGTTAATAAAAAAACAAATGAAAACCGGGCTAAATTACTATTTTTATCATAACCCTATTTCACCTAAATACTAAACGATTAAGAATCGTCAGAGACCAAAGTTCTATATATCGTGATGTAGCTCTACGCCACGAAAATCAATTCCCTATATAAAGTCAATGGTATGTGTAACAACAATGTTACACTGCAGCTTACAACAAAAAGTTGTTTGTGTTACACCTTTGTCCCAACAGGTGTGTACATTAATGTTACACTAGCGGTGAGAGTGTCAAGTGATTTATTTAAGGGAGACATCGCACTACCTGGTTTTGCTGATGTGGATTGGGCAGAAGACAGGATAGAAATAGTGGTCTCATTCATTAGTTGGGCATCGAAGAGACAAGCAATAGTAGTGATTTCTAATGCAGAAGCACACTATTTAGACAGTATTGCTATTTCTTATACAATAACAGATAGAAAGTTGGTCAAATTAGACAAAAGTTGCACAGTTTTGTGCTCATTAAAATAGTGCCAAGAAACCTTTGATATCTACAGGGAAATTTAAAATATCGAACAAAAAATAAAAATTGTAATTTTTTAAATTTGTTCATTTTTTGTCCGATATATTGATATTCTCTGTAGGTGTCAAATGTTTCTTGGCACAAAACTGTGCAACTTTTGTCTAATTTAACCAACCTTCTATCTGTTACCGTTTAAGAAATAGCAATACTGTGCCTATGAAATAGTAGGGACCCTGTATACTTTTATATTGAACTTACGGAAGCAGATATATCTACAAAACCCATTTCTGCAGTACATTTAAAGAAATTAAGGGCATTAATTGGATTGGTCAATGAACACTGAAGACGAGTGTTGGATACAATGATGATATATGTTTTATTGTTTTATATAGTTTGTTTTTGTATTTATAAATGATTAATGTCAACTTTTGAATAAAAAAAATTGTAAAGTAAAACATTTTAATATCATCCAGTCTTTCCAACTCCATATCTTTAAATTAAAGAGGTCAACAATTATTTTTTAATTGTTTAAACCAATTTATATTACACAAAACATACTTACACGAAACCATAGGGACTGTTGGTAACCAAAAACAGCTTTTTGTTTGCTTTAATCAACCTGTCAAAGAACGGCCTTAATTTATCATTACTTTCAATGTAGTCAGAAACGTTATTTGAAACTTCTTTATGCATCAAAGGATGAGAACTTCTAATAGAATTCTAAAATAAATCAAAATTATACATATCTGCAGCAATAATACCAATAACTTACTTTTATATCACGGAAGAGTATTTCAGGATGGTAATCAATGTGGTTCCTGTCAAAATAGTCAGCAACATTACAAATGAGGCACATTTCAGGCACAGAAAATAAATCAGCCAATTGTATCATCTTTGAATGGGTGTCCTGTAAAGTCAACTATAAAGGAGAGAATTCAAAAAGTTAAAGAGAAGATTTCGTTGCATAGAAGATATTAGTAACAAGACAAAACAAGACACATAAACAAAAACATATGTTAAACTTGGTGTTACAGTTACAATCCATTTATTTGTATTCAAGGCGACAATCCCTTCCAATATTTCGATTTAAATACTATTTTAACATGTAAGCTGTCACATGAGTTAAATACAATGGCTAATATGAATAAAAATTAGCATTTAGTTTATACTCGATTATTTGGAGCAAATACTCCAAGTGATATGAATATAACACAGAAGGGGATATTCCCTTGAGTAAGTACTCTTATATAAAATTTGTGGTAGGTAAATTCTCACTTTTTCTATGAATAAAAAATTGTTCATGCTCTCCGGGGTGAGAATCTACTTCATAATTTTGGAGTCTGATAGGCAGCAGATTTCAATTTGACCGTGGCAGAGCTATAGCTGTGTTCATCCTTAATATGCATTCCAAAAAATATTACAAACCCAGAAGAAGTACGTGTGATCGTGATTTTAAAGCAGCCATACTCAACCTTTTTTTCCTTCGGGCCAAATACATATGTTTGCTATGTTACACGGGCCGCAATATATGGAATGATGACCCTTGATTTAGGTTATCCATTTAAAATTACTTAGTGGGAATCTCTAATAAATAAAAATAAACACAAGTATATCCCGTCGGGTTAGGAACAAGATAACTCACATTTTTGGAGTTTGGAGAAAACCCTGTTCAAATGTTTAAAATTGAAAAAAACTATTAAAAGCTTCAAACTGTTAAATAAGCATTAACTCCAATGAAAAAAAGGCATTCTAAAACATAATTAGTCTTCACAAAGTATAACAAAAAAAAAGAAAAAAAAAAAACGTCACTTTACTTATTTTAGCTGTCTACATGCAGGTCATAATATTCAATGTCTGTGTCACTATCTGCAATGGAAGGTGCAGGTACCGCATCTTTAATATTATTTGTACAGGCAGAATTTGTGTAGTAGTATAGTAGCTGATTTGCAAAGTTTTAGTAAATCTTTCTTCTTGGCATGTATTGCACTTCTTTGTAAGTATTTTCAGAGATTTTTTTACTCTTTCAGGTCCCCCTCTACCGGTATGGCTTAGGTTTTTCAAGCAATGTGAAAAGCTGGTGTTTCGGTGATTTAAGAAGTGCTTCTAGTCTTTTTAACGCAAAAATAATACGGAGACGAGCGTCAGCATCCCTGCTCGTTACAGCTTGACCAAATACTTATTATGGCTTATCAATCATTCACCACAGTGATTCGGGCATCACGTGTTATCATCTATTGGTCTTTGAAGGTTAACTGTATCGTGGAAAGAAAGGGTGACGTAATCACATTGTCGATTTTAAACCAATCGAGAAAGGCCAGAGACGGCTCTAGGAAGAACAAATAACTTGGACAAAATGTTGAAGTATTTCAACAAATACATTCAATAAAAATAAGTGTTCTGGTCTTTATCTTGTTTTGGCCGAAACATTATTAGGAATCGAACTAAATACGTTTAGCATGCCTTTTATCAGGTGTTGATATAAACACTATTAGCAACTGAACACAATGTTATGATTATATTTCGGTAAAAATGCCATTCATCTTTTTGTGCTTATTGTGAATGTATCAATATGGAGTTAGTTTTTTTGACCATTTGTTTATCATGAATATAGACTTCGTTCACATTTTTGTTTATGCCTTATATTATTTGAACTATTTTGGAGACGAAAATGCCAAAAGTGGAGCTTATCTTATTTTTGTAGTAACTCTATAATCCAAACGTTTATTTGATGTTTTCGTGCATTTTCCTCAAAATTTTAAAAACAAACCTATAGTTATAAAACACATCTTCTTAATAATAGTGTTTCGTGCCGCAAAAAAAGCTTGGAGGGCCGCATGTTGAGTATGGCTGCTTTAAAGCATTGTATTGATTTACTAAATAAAATGTCGAGTGGATGTCAAATCACTTTTCAGGTGTATAATCTGGAGAAAGAAAAGGTGGTGCTGTATGTAACTTTAATACAATAAAATAAAAATATTTTTGAGATTTGTAGGTGGCCCAGGTTTTCAAACAGGAGTAGGATATTGGTGTTCGCCAAACTTCTGTGTCAAAAGTTGTGTTGGAAGTTGTTGATAAATTAATAGAAAAATGTGGACAGTGGATAAAATTTCCTCGCAATCCTGCACACATTTTCATGTGCATTGGGTGTGATCGATTGCACTCACATAAAAATAAACCATGGTGATGAATATAATAATCGCAAAGGATATCATACCATTAATGTACAATTCAGATGAGTGGTTTACAAGCGTAGATGCATCGTGGCCAGGATCTAATAACGATTCACAGATTTGGAGCAACTCAGAAATTTATATCATTGCAAGGAATGATTTTCAGAGGTTGAATGCGATACTTTTAGGAGAGGAATAATATACCATAGCACCATGGCTAATAGTGCCTTTTACAAATTCTAATACACCACAATAACAATAATTTATTTACAAAGAAGCGTATAACAATTGAAATATGTTTTGGTCAACTTAAACAATGATTGCCGATGCTTCAATATAAAGTTCAGGTATCCATAGAAAAAGTTTCGAAACTTATCATATGCTGTTTTATGATGCACAACGTATCAAAATATTGAAGAGAAGGGTCGTTTCATATCAATTCAACCAGATTTTTGGCAGACCATCTCACTGTAGTTTTTTTTATTAATTTTCAAAAATAGAAAAATTGACCAATTTTGGTATAACACCCCAGACAACACACCAAATCCCAGAGATATCCACAGAATATCTTTTGTGGATATCCAATATATCCACAGGATATCAGAAATATTCCGTGGATCTAATATGGATATCCAAATGTCCGTCTATATCCAGAATATAGAAGATATCCTAATGGATATCCAGCAAAATATCTAATGGGTATCTTCCAGAAAATACAAGAAATCCCAGAGATGTCCACAGAATATATTTTGTGGATATTCAATATATCCAATATTGATATCCAACCAAATGTCCGTCTATATCCCAGGATATAGAAGATATTCGGATATTTAGCAAAATATTTTATCTTAAGTAGAGGTTCATACCAATGATTATTAAATAACGTCGAAAGAAAATAGCAGAGATAAAAAATATTTTCAACACTCAAAATATTTTCAACACTCTGCCTTTGATTTTGCCCACTAAGGAGAAAGTCACACTTATTAGGACTCTTCAGCAATAAATGGAAATTCTCGACTCCAGTCTCTAATGGAGTCTGATTAGGACACAAATTTCGATGGAACTCAATTACGGCGGGTCGAGCATGAGTAGATGCGAAAGTGGTATCGCCATCTATACTTAGTAAGCAAAATCAAATAACATCTAGTGGATATCCACGATGGTTTGCGTTCGCGCCTAGACTTTGATATATTTAGTGGATGTCCATGGGATATTGAATACACCTTAAAAAAATTAATTTTAAATATCTGAACGGTACTATTAGCCACAATGGCGTAATTTTTTAATAATTTGCTATATAATTACTATTATTTATGGACATTTGTATGTCTATAAATTATATCTCATGGATATAAAATAGTTATCCACCATGGACTGGACATTCAGTGGATATTGGGATGTTCAGTAGATATCCAAAGGATTTGGTGTGCTGTCTGGGACAGCTTTACTAAAATTAGAATATCTTGAGGACCACTTATCCTAGATCAATGAGATATAGCTCGTTGTTAAGGTAATTCAAATACCTTTCCAACGATATGTCACATGACCTATTTTATTTTCATCTGTTTTTTTAATTTTGAAGAAACATTTTTTGATTTTTTAAAAAAGTTATTTTTGAATTTTTTGAGAAAAACATTTTTTTATCAATGCTTTGACAAAATATGTGCCAAATTTCAAGATGGGTTCACTCCAAAAAAATAATAAAAACCAAATAAAAGCAACAAAAAATCTAAAGAAAAATGTTCCAAATTCGTATTATCATGCATATATGTGTATGCACTGTAGGAAAAAGTCAAAAAGTTCTATTTTAAATATTAATTCTGTATAGGTAAATTAAAGCTAAAATAGCCTTCTTTTTTCATCTCCCCCCTCCCCAGTCTAGTGTTGTATGAGTCCGAAACTTGTGTTTTTTATGTGTGCGAACTTGTTTATTCCTGTCATGTCTAGTTTTCTATTGGTGTTATTCCGTACCCACCAGACCAAACAATCTGTGCCTGTTTGATACAAGAAAATTCCTGCAAGAACACTCCAGAATGCCGATTTCATTTATATTTAAACCTGAGCTCCTGTTGGTAGTGTTGTACTTCTATATTCTACTGTTTAAAAATGTCTAAAGACAATCCAAAATATTGGTCTAAAATATTTGCGACCAGGTGTTGTGATCCGTTAAAATTGAAGAAACATTCTGGAAAATTGAAGAAACATTCTGGAAAATTGAGGAATGTTTCAGAAAATATGTGCTCTCATATAGACAGTAGGCTAGGAATGAAGATTAGTAATGGGTGTCAAATCAAACTTAAGAAAAGTAATTCGCCTGAAGCAGGGTAAGTACATACTTACAATTGATTTATGTATATTTTCATAGTTTGTTAAAAATAATTATTATTGAAAGGAAACAAGCCTAAACATTGTCACTTCTAATAACTATTTTATGGTATATTTGGGCACCTACATATTTGTGAATATTTTTTTCAAATCATCAATTATCTTTGATTCTCCCAATTTTAAATCTGAAATTCTAAAAGAAATTTTAATGGAAAAGTTTGATGAATTTTTTATTGATAATGTTACATACAAGAAGTGGGTTTCTGTGGATAACTGTAACATGGAGACGATTATTAAACTCACTGAAGATTTTCTTGAGGAATTTGTGCAAGATTTAGTTAAACTAAAAACACACTCGTTTATTTCCACTATGCAAAAAGATTTTACAATGAGACTAAAACAAATTTAATAATGGGAGAAGCAC